CGACTGGATGAACAACAGCCATATTGAACATTTTGAGTACACTGCCAAAATCCAAGCCATATCTTGGCAGTTTGAAGAGTACTACATCCACGTCACCATCATGGTCTTTCTTATGGTGGTTATCCTGCTGAAGATGGTCTACAATTATGTGATCTGGGTGAGCACGTACATTCCCGAGTCACTATTGCTCATTTGTGTAGGTGTGATCTTCGGCGCCCTGATCCGGTTCGCCCAGGTAGACAAAAATATTGACACCTGGCAACTGACTCCGAAGCTCTTCTTTGAGTTTCTGTTGCCTCCCATTGTCTTAGAGGCAGCATACAGCCTCTATAATCGGACATTTGGAGAATTTCTCGGCACGATCCTCGTCTATGCTGTTCTCGGCACTGTGCTTAACTTTCTACTCATCGGCCCAGTTCTGTATGGTCTCGACTGTCTGGGTGTAATGGGCTCGCCTACTCTTCATCTCGACCTAAAAGGCTACCTTCTCTTTAGCTCTCTCATTGTTGCTGTCGACCCTGTGGCTGTACTGGCCATCTTTCAAGATATCGGAGTGGATCTAGGCCTTTACTACATGGTGTTTGGTGAATCACTGCTGAACGACGCTGTCACCATCGTGCTGTACCAAATCATGCAGGCATTTGCCGGCAAAGAGCATATTACTGGCGGAGAGATCGCGGTCGGATTAGCCTCATTTTTTACAGTCAGTCTTGGCGGTCTACTTGTTGGAGTCTTGCTTGGAGTGGCTACCTGCTTCTTGACCCGTATCTACAGCTCCATGGAAGTCATCATTGTGTTGATGCTCGGCTATCTGGCCTACATAATGGGCGAGGTAGTTGGCTGGTCGGGCATCATTTCTATGATTGGCTGTGGTCTTGTGCAGGCCTCGTACGCTTTCCACAACCTTCAGACGACCAATGTGACGGTGGTGAAGCACATCAGCAAATCGGTGGCCGAGTTGAGCGAAGCCGTCATTTTTCTTTTCATCGGCATCGAGTTATTCCGCAAGAACCTCACATGGCATACCGGGTTTCATCTCTGGAGCCTGACAATCTGTCTGGTTGTTCGACTCTCCGTGGTGCTCCTCCTCACGGCCATCATCAACTGGGTGCGTGTGGATGGTGTGAAGATATCGATGACGCAACAGTTTATTGTAATATACGGTGGCCTCCGAGGCGCCGTGGCATTTTCTCTCTCGGTCTTGATCCGAGAGTCTTCACTCGACTTTTCAGGAAAGGGAGGCAAAGAGATGAAGAGCACCTTCATCACTGCTACTCTCTTCATCATTCTCTTCACAGTCGGCTTCATGGGCATGACAATGAAGCCACTGGTCCGGTTGCTTAAGATCAAAATGCACACCAAAACGGGACTGAGTCTATTCAACAAACTCAACGACCACATCATTGACCAGGTGCTTGCGGGCATCGAGACGGTCAGTGGCGAGAGGGGTCGCAATCTGGTGCGTGAGTGGTGCATTCGTGTGGATGATCGCTACGTGCGTCGAGTGCTGCAGCGAGATCCGGCCACACACGACCACAAGATCGTCAAGGTCTACGAGAAGATGGCTCTCAAATTGCACTACGCCACAATACGACCAGACCAGTCAATGCTTCACTTGGACGAACTGCCGGTCACCATCAGGACGAAGCATCTCAGCCAGACGATGTCCACCCATCAGTTGGCCAGTCTTGGCTCGATGGTGAATCTGGAGGAACTCCAGTTCCATTCGTACGCGGAGAAGATAGCCTTTACAACAGTGCCGGAAGAGGAGGAAGAAGAAGAGGACGGCGAAGAAAGCAGACGAGAAGAAAGAGAACGGGACGAACACAACATCTGCTGGCGCGAGAGAAAGTGTTCAACATTCAGCGACCACAAAGAACTGTCGGTGGAGCCGATTGAATTCCGCTCGCCACGACGAATAAGTCTGCTGGATGGCGGTAGGCATCAGGAGGACTTCCGGCATGCCTTCATCGAGTTGATCCGCTCCAAGGGTCTGGCGTTAGATTGTCAGTTGCGTAGGGGCTCTTGTGAGGCCAGTTTCAACAAGCCAGACATGTGGAGACGGAAGACAGCAACTATAGTTGCCTCAGACCGACCCCGTGTCAGCGTGTCTGGCCTGGATAGTGATCGGCGAGCCTATAGAAACATGGCTTTGGACGTCGGGGAAGCGATGGTGTTGCGGTCACGGAGTGAACTTGCTGAAGCAAACAAGCTAGCTACACTACCGGTTGCCATGCATGCGCCATCCTCAGTTGCCACGGTGAGAACAAGTGTGAATCAGCACGGAGGGGCACATACCGATGAGTCGGTCGTTGAACTATCACACCAGCCGAATAAGGCGTCTCGAACCACACTTTTGAGGAATTTGCCAGCTCCGGAGCAGAATATTATGCAAAAATCCAGTTTTTCTCAAATAAGTGTAGTTGAAGACCATGACGATTCAATACCACGAAATTCCACCTGTTCCAAAGCCCAAGAACTTTCAGTTGCAGCACCAGAATTGGTAGAGGCTGCGAAGGAGCCTGAGGATAAGCCTATAACTAAAGGATCTTCGGCATTCTGCTCCAATGATCAATCCACTGGAAATTATATTGGAAGAATTCCAAAAATTATCATTGAACTTGACTCAACTGTTCAATCCGAGCCCCAAGAAGCCCCACCAAAGTGGTGTTCGAAAAAGTACCCAAAAGAGAATGGAAAAGAGCATGTCTTTGCTGACGCTTTCCAATGACGCTGACGCTTTCCAGCTTCTTTGAATGTATGTAAAAACCTTACTGAGAAAAAATATCACTTATTATTGCTTCATTAGGTTTGTTCTTCTATTCTTTTTATGCACGCTCAGATTACAATTGATTGCCTTTATCATTTTTCACCTAAGTATTTTTCTGTTTAAGCAAATTTGCAATCCCTAAAGGATTAATACTGTCTTGTATATTGCCAAAGTACACTTTATGTGAAATTATGTACTTTTTACTTAAAAAGGTTATGATAGCTTCTGTGCATCAATGCATCTCAGTTAAAAAACTTAGTGTGTATGCCATCTTGCTCGACTCCCGCCTAATTTCACACTATGATAGAGAACGTGTCCTTCGCCTTTCCGAGAATACTAGGGCAGATAAAATAATTTAGAATCCTACCTTGTTGGTTTCGTTGATATTGAGCCATAGTATCTAACTATAGAGTTTGTTTGGCCTAGTTTCCACAACTTGACCCCGTTGCTAGGGCTACATCTGGGCATGAGCCCTGTGTTAACTTAGTCGTGTATCATCCAAGTATATTTCTTGACAATTATATGACATTTTAGTCGACAACGCCATTAAAGAGAAGCATACCTGACACCAAGCAGCAACTTTTCCAACACTTTTTACTGAGCTTGAGGCCTCTAATCCACCCTAGAATCGAATGCATACTCTGCCATTTTAAGAAATGAGTGGGCATTTTGACCTTTAATAAAGTGAAAATACATCATCTAATATGTTTTAGGGAAGCTTATATGTTGCAAATGATTAATTTGTCCGATGGGCGGGGCAACAGATCCTGATTAATGATGTTGATCTTTCGGTCTGAGTGAAAAAGTTGTGCATTTAACCTCAAACCTTGCAAATGAGATAAGATTCCTTGGGTAGGGCATTATAATGAATGACTAAATATACCCTTTTATTCAAGTTGTCTGCATAATATTTCCAATTATGTTCGTCTTTTAGCGTAAAAGTTCCTCTGAAGTGAGTAGGAAGAAATGATGCACTTTTGACTTTTCTCCTAATGTTTTCATCCTTCACAAAGCAGCCATACAATTAGAAAGCCCAGCATACTCATAAGATTTGATAAACAGGCCATAGCTGAGTGAACGATAAGATAGGTTAGATTAAGTGTACAAGACGATGAAAGTAATGAAGTTAACCCATTACTTGTCTTATTTCGATCAATCGAAAGGAATCATTGGGCCCGTTTAATAATGCATAGGCGGCAGTGTATGAAAGATTTTGGTTGCCTAATACTCAATAATTCATTTAGATACAATTAGGAGTAGGATGAAATATATACCCAGAATAAGTACCGTCGCCGAGCATAATGGAAAACGCATGTTTGCTTAATCAGAAATCCCATCATATGATTTTTACATATTTCCTGTGACCCACTGACATTTGTATCTATGTAAAGGAGGGGTAACTTAGTCATGATATTCACCAACTGGTGTAAAATCGCATCGAGGATGTTGAAGAAGTTTAGGCAAAGTCGGAATTGCAGTCCGATTAGGCCAGGAAAAGAAAACCTTTTAGGAGGCAACACAAAGTGAAATTCACTGTTATTCTAAGGCCTACTTATCGCATGGTGTAAAAACTCAACTAACCGCCCTTAAATCCCCTGAAGAGACTTAAAGTGATTAAGTTATTATTCAATAATTACTAAGTCTGGAAGCTTCCATATATCTAGGATTGGAAAGCGTTGCTTTATCACGTCCTATTTAAACAATAGCTTTATCTGTTAATTCGCTGACAATTTCACTATAAATCTACCTGAGTCTGCAGGCCCTATGGATCTTTAATACTGGCAAGAATACTCTTTACTCACTTGGTCACAAACCAACCAAATTCATGAACTTACACCGAAAGTTTGTTTTACAATGACATAGAAAAAATTTTCTTTAAGAGCCCATTATAATTCCTGTGAGTCTAGAAGTGAGACAGGAAGGATTTTCTAATTCAGCTGATAATTAATAATATTCTGAGGGAGTTTGCCCAAACAAGTGTCATCAACGAGCAAAACAGCATCAGTTATGAAAAAGAGCCCAATATATCAAGCCAGGAATGGTGGCCAGTTGCCCTCATATTCACTTATTATTCCTAATTTCGCACCCATGATTAGATATCGAATGATGAGGCGTAGTATGCATACATGCTCTGGGATGATTCCTTGCACAAATATTATAGCCTTTAAACCACCAATATTGACTCTTGTTTAGTAGGTATTTGTTTGTATCTTTATTGTGTGCATAGAATGCTCCTGAGGCAGAGTATAGGATATTAGAAACTCCTCTTGACCAACAGTTCTTTCCGCTCGACCTACCTAGGCCCATCAAACAACCGAAAACACTTTGAATTCACTGAAGATATGAAGACGAAGATGCTCTTGTCCCCGGTATGGTCACAGTCTCAGTTCTATTTATAGAAGTGTGTTGACCTTGCCGATGCAACTTGGTCTTGTTGTCAGGGTGACTTAGTAGAACGTACCTAAAAAAGGCACACATTTTGACGAGTGGAATGTAAGCAGGTCAGAAGTTGTGATAGAGCAGGAGTTGGATAGGAAGGTAAAGAGTTGATAGATGGGCCAGGATAGAAAAAGGATTAATTGTTTAACCGTTTTCGGCAGAACGTTGGTGGAAGGATTGACTTCCCTGGTCTCTTTGACAAGTTGGTTGCTTGGTGCGGAGAATGGCAACACTCACTGATGATGCCGACTACGATGCCGGCGAAACGAATGAGTATGTACCAAGTCCACGGTTCGATGCTGGGAATTATGATAACTACTATGGCAGAGAACTTCGGACAAGGTGCGTTCTACTAAGGCGCCCTGACAACAAGACCAAGTTGCAAAAGCGAGGTCAACCGACTTCTAATTACAAAATGCCATCCTCTTAGTCAGGATGTTGAAAGTTCTTCTCCTTAATCTTATATTTATGTAGATATTTCATATCTTGAAAAACGCCGTGATTTTGATTATTCTGTTTTGCGTCCTGTATCAACCATGTGTTCGACCATTTTAGATTTTAAAACAATGACATTCATTTATATAAACCTTTGCGAATGGATCGGCAGATCTCCCTTTAGGGGCATTACCACCTAAGTACAAAATCTTGTTAACACCATGAGCTAAAAATAGGGTCGGAGAATTATGTGAAAGAAAGTGCATATTAGCAAAGTATCCGCTTTTTCATATCCACTGATCTGATTTTCTACTTCCTCATTAGTTCAACTACATTTTCAGACGCCTAACTAACGGTATCATCAGTAACCGAGCCGATTTGTCTATCAGCCTGTCCTGCTCCAGAAAGCTATTTCTCACTGTCTATTTTTTTAACATTAAACAACCTTTTTTGTTAATTCTAATGTGTACTTATTTTCACTTAAAGTATTCCTCATTCTTCAGATTTTCTGGTCCCGGTGGCTAACATCTACTAAAGAAAGACCAATCATTGACATGGATTTCATGACTGCTACTTTGACTCCATATTTTGGAAATAATTTATTACGTTAGAAAAAAAGGTTAGAAAGGAATGCACATTTGCTGATTTCCTGCACACATATCTATCCATTTAGTGCTTGATATAATAACTTGGACACCTAGAAATGGTTGATTACCCTCATTTTCTACTCCATTTTAATTTATTTATCCCAGTGAATCCATCCATTATCACAAGGAATTATATTAACTTATATGTGTTGTGTTTCCAAACAGCAATGTAATTCTCAATGCGCCTAACTAAAAACATATGAGCTTCTTGAATTTAAAGATCCATGTCATTATTAGCCGGTTTTCTATTGCAAGATATGTAATTTTCATAACTAGACTGGTCAGTCTACTGATAGGAGGCTTGCCTAATTCTTTTGACTATAATGATCTCATTATTCTGAGCAAATGTTAGCAATAAAACATGTTTTGTTCCTATATCAGAATATTCGCATACATGGAAGCTGCACTTAGCTTACTAACAACTAATCACAGTCTACTGACTGCTTGTATACTAACTTGGCAGTGATTATAATTCATTATTTAAAATTTCCAGGCTTAAAAGATATTATTTAATAGGACACAATTATATCGTCATGTTGTAAGCATTTGACAGCCTTTATTATTTAAAACAATCCTTCATTATGATTTACTTGTAGTCTCGAAACAATCATTAAATGCGAAAAATAAAGTAACGTAGTCGATTGTTATAGCAAATATACGTTTGCTTCATTGACAATCTCACCAAAGAATAGGATATGGCAACAGGCCTAGCCTTCCTTGAAATTCACATTTTGCCCTGTGACTAAAACAG